TCTGCCCATCTATCTGCGGGTGAAATACACTGCTATAGGATAATTTGCTGCCGAATGAATCCTAGAAACTCCTCCAAAAAATGTAAAGTGAAAACCGAGCCTCGATCTGATACAATCGTCTATGGAACTCATGCAATCTAACGATTTCCTGAAAATCAATATCCTCGCATAAGTCTCCGCTGTATACTTTATACGTCGTCTTCACTTGTATGAAATGAGCTGACTTTGTCAACCGATCAACTATCACCCAAACTGAATCGTTCCCCTTCTTCGATCTTGGCAATCCTACAATGAAGTTCATAGAAATATCTACCCACCTCCACTTCGGAATGGGTAAAGGTTGTAGGGTCTCTGTTTACCTCTGATGTTCTGCCTTCACTTGCTGGTAGGTAGAGCTCTTAGCTACATACTCTGAAATCTCCCTAAGCATGTCATCCTACCAAAAATGTCTCTTCAAGTCATTGTACATTTTTGTTATGTCTAGATGCACTGTGTATTTGGTGCAATGAGCCTCATTAAACAATTCCCTTTTAGTTGTGCATTAGCTGGCATCACTAATTAGACTTTCATCTGAAGTCCTCCATCTGCCCCAACGGTCCAATCGGCCTTGGGTTCTTTGGAAATCTATTTCTTCCGAGTTTGAATTCAAGTGTCCTCTAACTGAGCTCTAGCCACTCTATCACTCCAAGACGACTGCACTGGTCCCGCCAATCTCTGGCCTAAATTCAAACTAGCTAAAAGTATGAAGATCTTGACACAACGAGCACCTCAAGCCGCACTCCGATGTCAATGCTTTCTGCTCAAAACATTCGCTACGACGTTCGCCTTTCCCGGATGGTACTGAATCATGAACTCATAATCCTTGATGAACTCGACCCATCGTCGTTGTCTCTGGTTGAGTTCTTTCTGAGAAAATAGGTACTTGAGATAATGGTGGTCTGTGAATAGCTCAAACTGTACTCCGTACAGATAATGTCTCTATGTCTTCAGTGCAAAGACTACTGTTGCTAGCTCCAAGTCATGCGTGGGATAGTTCTACTCATGCGTCCTCAACTGTCGAGAGGTATAAGATACTACTCTATGGGTCTGCATCAAAATGCCTCCTAGACCTGCTAATAACACATCCGTATAGACAACGAATGTCCTATCATTGTTCGGGATAGTCAAAACTCACATTTGCTGAATTTAGCGTACAACTGATGCTCCCGCAAAGTCTGAAATGCTAAACATAGATGCTTCTCGTGTTCTGTCTCCGATCTCGAATAAATGTGGGTGACATCGATAAATAAAAATCATGAATTGGTCCAAGTATAGACGAAAAACCCGGTTCATAAAATCCATGAATACCGCGGGTGCATTGGTCAGCCTAAATGGCATGACCAGAAACTCGAAGGACTCATATCGAGTCAAAAAGACGGTTTTGGGAATATCCATCTCCCGAACCCGTAATTAAAAATAACCAAAATGAAGATCAATCTTCAAAAAAAAATGTTGCGCTCCCCACAGCTGATCGAACAAGTCATAAATCCTATCTAATTCGGATAGTAAACTTGTTCAACTCACGTTAATCTATACATAATCATATGCTATCGTCCTTCTTCTCCACGAAGAGGACCGGTGCTCCCCACAGAGAATGACTCTGACGAAAAAAATCCTGAAATAACAACTCATCTAACTGAATCTATAGCTCTCTCATCTCAGCGTGTGCCATATGATAGGATGCTCGGGATATTAGTACTATGCTCTGCTGTAACTTGATGCAGGACTCATCCTCTCTCATATGAGGTAACCTAGATATGTCCTGAAAGACATCCTGATAAACTGAGACAACTCTAGTCTCACACAAATCAGCACTCCGGTCCCTCAGCATCACCTCCTCGATGTATGTCAGGAATGACTCCGCATTCTGGTTACCCTATGAGGTTGCTACTATCTATACAAACCCAATGAATGCTCACAACCTGACTGTTTTAGCAAAACGTCCGATACTGACATGGTATGATGAAAGCCAATCCATACCGAGAATAGCATCAAAATCCGACATCTGCAACGCGATCATATCTATGAGAAACTTGGACTCATCTAGACTGATGACACAGCTTCTACAAATACTCTCTAATAGGGACACGTCCCTAGAGGAGTAGAGACGGATAATGGTATGTCTAAAGGATGTGCTACAACCTGAAGCCTATCCATGAAGGCATGAAAGATAAAAGAATGCAAAAATCCTGAATAAAAGAAGGTCTGAGCTGGAAAGGAAATCACGAAGAAAGCTCTGCTCGCACCATAATTACGCGGTATGGCTGCATAAACTCTGCCGGTGATGGAAAAATATATGGGACCATCTGTCCCTTAGGAATCTCCTGGATAATACAAATCTGGCCTACTGGCCTCTCAATCCTCGGAATAACAGGTAGTGCCTCTATCTTCCGTTGCTGGCTGAAATTGCGGTTCTGAGACTGCCGACCCTGACCCCTGCCATGCTGGCTTACTGCTAGTGTACTGCGACAAGTCCTTCGCTCGTTGTCAGATGTTGTTACAATTGTAACATGTACCCCGAACTCTGCGCTGTTGCGGCGCTCTCGAATCATGTCATGCTCCCTTCTTATACTGTCCTTATTGCTGGTGGTAAAAAAATACTTACCCCACTGTTAGGGTTCTCTAGGTCCCGCAATAGGTCTCTTGCCCTTGTCATTGTCACCATGATGGTTTTGATTTCTTCATTAACTACATGTATATCTCACTGCTTCAATCGGACTAGCTCTAATTACTTATCGAAGAAGTAAATAAAATTCTCTCAAATTAGTGATATTTACTGCTCCGTTGAAAATCTGAAGTCGTTGCTATCCCCCGGTGACGTCCTCTACGCTGAATACATATAACTTCTGCTTTGGTACTGAGTCGACGTTAAGAAATTTTTTCACATATTTCTTCCATTTATATGCTGCACATGAATCCGGTGTGCCCTGAAACTAGTGTGCTCTTAGTGTCTGGTATCTTTCTTATTCTTATAGAATCAAGCCTCCTGCTCTGCGACTCTATTAATAGCTGGTTGTGATGATGGTGTAATCATTGGTATTGTCTCTTGAATAAGCACGACTGGTACAAGTGGTGGTGGAAACTCCTGAAAATGGTACTGCTGGCGGAAATGGATACGCCTCTCGCTCCTTGAGTGCTACAAAAATCTTGTTATAAACAGCGTCATGAAGTCGATCAAATACTGTGGAGCCTACTGCGGCTCCGGCTTTACTTGTCCAGCCCTCCGGGTACAAGTTTTACCTCGACCATGTCCTCATCCCGATATTTATAATATCAAGATGAGAGCTTAATTGACACAGTTAATGAGGTCGCAAACATATATATACATAACGTATCACAATACTTATTCATAACACATAGTATTCACGCAAATACTTTGAAATCAACATAAAATAGTTGTAAAAAAATTCCAAAATTTTGGGATATACGCATATATCGTCCTCACTCATTCTAGGAAATTCTTAGCGGACTCTATACATGAATCCTGAGAAACTCTATTCTAGCTCCACGACTCGACACAGGATGATCCTAAGGATACTAGAACTAGAGCTCTGATACCAACTGTGACGCCCCTGTTTTCATACTTGCCTGCAGTACAAGGTGAACCCAGAGATGTTAAACCGGTCATGCACCTCCACTGTGCAACAACATGTTTCACCAATCACAGTAATATCCTCTAGTGGAATCAAGTATAAGTGAAGGTGCAAAACAGTCAAATAAGGGAAATAAAAATACAATAGACATGATGTAGAAAGAAATATCTCATAATGATATCATGTCTCGACTAGAATAACTGAAATACATCTGGAGTCTAAAATAACATGATATGTCTCAACATGAATCGACTAGAAATCGTACTAAGGTAAACTGCCTTAACAATATGAGTACAAACCCAAATAACTGAGTGGAAACATAAGACTATTGCGGAGTCCCTGCTAATAAACCATGCAACGACGACTATGCAAAAACTTCGTCATCCTGGGACTCTTCGGTGCTCTGAGCTGTCTGAAAGTTAAAATAAATAAAAGAAAAAGAACAACAACAAGAGCGTCAGAGTGCTAGCAAGATTACCTCCATCCGTCCTCGGGGGAAGGCTGCTAGATGAAATAGAGGCTCTATCTATTAAGCATAGTCTACCTAGATTATTTTTCCCGAACCTAATGGAATTAATACTTAAAAACTTACCACTCGAGACGTAGTACGTCGAGCGAAATAATCCAAACAAGGAAACCCTCATGTATATACCGTATCTCTCAAGTAGTAAATAAGTAAATATTAACCTTGAACTAAACAAACAAAATATAACTGGAAAATAAAGCATAATAATAAACATTAACATATGTATCTCGTGTACTCATATAACAAGTTATCTAAACAACGAGTAATATCACATTGGGCATCTGCCAAAAACTCAGGGTCAATCATTCTCTATAGTTTCTCAATAAAACATATACTTATGTGATTCGGCAAAAATGGTATCATCGCATCACCATGCGGATCAACGAATAGGTATCATCGCATCATCGTGCAGATCGACAAAAAAGTATCATCGCATCATAATGCAGATCGACCAATAAGTATCATCACATCATCTGCGAATCGATAAATAAGTATCATCGCATCATTGTGCTGATCGACAAAAAGGTATCATCGCATCATCTTGCGGATCGATCAATAAGTATCATCGTATCATCTTGCGGATTGACAAATACGTGTAGTGGAGTGAAAAATCCTCACGGTCTTATTTGCGATGTAAAAACTCACAATGTCAGGTGTGTAAAGTAGGGAAGGCAGATTTTGCCCATACCCATTTACCCACCTGGCCCGCCCATCACTTGGCCCGTCCAAACCCACCCATTTAGTTAAATGAGTCTAATTGTGTTGGTTCCTCTTAAAGACTCAAACCAAACTAAATAGGTGTTAAATAGGCGGTCTATATTCACCTGTTTGCCTACCCGTACTCCCAAAACCAAAACCCGACTCCAGCAAACCCTTCGCCTTCACTCTTCACCCTTCAGAAATGACCCGATCTCAAAAATCACGATTTTCTCTCCTCTTCATCTCTAGCTCGAGACCTCGACCTCTAGCTTCCGACCTCCTCCTCTCCCCTCGAGCTCGACCTCGACCTTCGGCCTCCGATCTCCTCTCTCTCGGGCTCGAGCTCTACCTTCGATCACCTCTGGCCTCTGTTCTTCTCTCCTTCGATCTCCACTTCTTGACCTAGATCTCTTCTCCTGCCCTTCAATCTCCTCTTATCTTTGATCCCCAATCCTCAGATCAAAAGAAGGTAACTTTATATTCTAGGTTTTTTTTTAAATTACAATTTTTCCATATTTTGATTTAGTTTCTACGGCTTTAAAATTTTCAATTGATATGGGCTTTATCTTCTAATTTCTAGTAGATCCTTTTTAAAAAAAGTTTTACTAATTAGCTGCTATTGTTACTGAAGAGGGTACCTGTTCTAGGTTTTCAGGCTGAATGCTTACTGAATGGGGAGGGAATAAGTAGTTTGGTCATCTAACCACGCTTTCGAAGTTAATATTAATCGCATTATATTAAACATTCATAACCCATGAATGCTCATAGACTGTTATATTAATGGGATTATTAGTTTATGACACTGCTGTATTCTGTAATCACTTGCCAGAATTGCGTATATTGCATGTCCAAGGAAATCTATACATTGTATGGTGTATTATAATATCTTATCTGTAACATGAACTGTTTATTTATTTTTATAGCACTTTTGTCATTTTCATCAAATTTCATTTTAAATCTGTAACATGAACTGTTTATTATTTCTATAGCACTTTGGTCATTTTCATCAAATTTCGTTGTATTATAATTCTACTCTTTTCACAGTGGTTTCCACGAGGGGAATTAATCGCCCATGCAGCATATTCTTGTGATAGCCAAATGATATATGCAAGTTTCACAAACGGAAGTGTGGTTGTATTTACTTCAGCACTCAGATTGAGGTGTCGAATTAAGCCAAGAGCCTATCTGAATCAACAGAGGTATGGATGACATATAATATTACTGTTTGTGAATTGGGGTTTCACAAATGAAAGTGTGGTATATGTTTTTACTGTTGATTAAGAATATGTTTGAAATTGGGGTTTCAGCACTTAGAAGGCCGGTAGATAGTAATCAGAATTCAAAATACACAGAAAAGATCCTATTTAGATAGAATTAATAAATAGCATCCAGAAGAGCATAGACGGAAAAAGAAGTTCCTTCCTCATTTCTGCAGAGGATGAATCATCAGTCATTCTTCCGAACATCCAAAAGGACAAAACAAAAATGAAACACTGGTAGATAATCAATTACATATACGAGAAGGAAAGAGCAAACATGTGCCTGTAAAGAATGTTCTCTGATGGTAAGATAAAAGCCATAGAAAAAGTCTATAGAACATGAAGTAGAACAAGCAAAGCTGATGGTAGGAGAGCGGGGGTGGAGGAGCATAAGCATCTCAATAAAAACCAAAAAGAAATAGCTAAAGCACTTGTTTAAATCCTTTTCATCAGAATTTCAAATAAAAATGTAGTCCTACAATTTCTCAGTGTTATGAACCATTGTCATTCCTTCTGGATCACATTCTTAGAATATCCCAATCTTTCACAATTATGGTTGTTATATATTACAAAGTTCTTTACTCACACTTTCTTTATGTTTGTGTTTAGTAGCATTGCAAACATATTCTTAACAACTGAGTTAAAATCCTAAGGATTATTTTTTACTGTAACAGGTTCCTCAGTGCATTCAAAAAACTACATTAGCAATTGGTGATGGAGCTAATGATGTCGGTATGATTCAGGAGGCTGATATAGGTGTCGGTATCAGTGGTGTGGAAGGAATGCAGGTTGATAACCAAAACACTGAATCTCTAAATATTTGTGATACCCTTCTAAATTTAATAGCTAGAAAAATCTTGAATCACGATTCTAGAATAAATATGACACTGTTACGAAATTAAAATTTCAAATACCTACCATGTGTACTGATTTTCATTTCTCTGTAGGCTGTAATGGCTAGTGACTTCTCTATAGCACAGTTTCAGTTTCTAGAGCGGCTTCTTATTGTTCACGGACATTGGTGCTATAAGAGGATTGCCCAGATGGTAAGAGCTGAATCATACTTCTGTCTATGGTTTAATCCACTTAATTCAAATATTTAGTTATGTGATTCTTACATCTGGATTTTATCAAACAACTCTCAGGTTGCTATTTCTTCTACAAGAATATAGCCTTTGGCCTCACAATATTCTATTTTGAGGCATATACAAGTTTTTCTGGTCAATCTGTATATGACGACTGGTACATGTTATTATGCAATCAGAGGTTTGCTTGCAGGTATGTTCTCTGTAGGCATATAAAAGTTTTACTTGGATCCGACATCTCTTCGTTTGGGGGAGCATTTCTACGTGGTATCTCTTCCTCTTAGCCTATGGACTCTCATCGCCACTTATATCTGGAAATGCTTATCAAATACTCGTCGAGGTTTTAGCTCCGCCTCTAATTTATCGGATTGTTACGATTTTGGTGACTGCTTCGTGCAATATTCTGTATCTTGCGCATATTTCGTATCAGAGAATACGAAATCCCATGGATCATCATGTGATTCAAGAGATTAAGTATTGTAGGAAGGATGTTGAGGATCAACCTATGTGTAACAGGGAGAGCTCTAAAGCGAGGCAGGAGACTAAAATTGGGTTTTCCGCGAGGGTTGATGAGAAAATTAGACAGTTGAAAGGGAGGTTGCATAAGAAAATTTCTTCATTGACGGTTCAAACTGTATAATGCTGTATTTTCTTGCTTGTGATTTTATATTTATATATATATATATATATACATATATATATTCTCCTTTAACTAGGTTGTTTACCTATTCATTAGTTTCCCCACTATTCCAAGGGGGATAGTTCAGTATTCCCCAGTATAAACCAGAAATTTTTCTGTACATAATTTATAACTGTCATGAGTGTAAATTAGCTGAGTTTGGCCATGTACATATATCTTATGATGATGACTTTGGCTTCTGAAATCTGAGTTCATGTTGTTGAATTTTTAGTTTATTTGTCAGTAATTGGTCCTTTGATTACATTTCAGCATAAAAATAGAATGGACTTGTAATTGAGTTGTGCAAATTTTGCTCAAAAAAAATTTAGCATAAAAAATGCTCAAAAAAGTTTACGAAAAGCCCCCAAAAGTTTACAAAAAACCTCCCAAAAATTTACAAAAAACACCCCAAAAGTATTATATATTTAGCTACTATAGTTAAATGGGCAAATGGGTGGCCCGTTTATTAAATGGGTGGGTAAAAACCCGCCCATTTATGGCCCGCCCATTTAATATCCAAACCCACCCATTTAACATCCGTAAAAATATTTTATCATAATCCCCTAGGGATACTCACATATGTATAACAACATTTTCATGACTGTGGGTGTAACACCGAGCGGCTTAAACTCCGCGATCACACTTCAACAATGGCGCAAAAACAGACTCAAGAAAACAAATTCAAAACTAGGCAAATGTTGCCCATAAAGTGGTCAAGACTACTGTTAGTAAAACGAGTATATATTTCTTTAGGAAAACTATTTTTAGGAATGGTTTTCTGTTTTGAAAACTAGATTCACACATTATTTGGAACAAGTTTGGTTCAGTTTGGAGTTCATTTGTTATCCCAAATCTCTAGTTAAACATTATACATGTGCAACAGTTTTTCTACATGATATATTGTTAGTAAAAAGAG